TATAATGTATAACAATACATATACTATACATAATAAAGATCATAGAATATATATTCTAAAGGCATATATACACATACACATGTATACATCTAATAAACATACCACTAAGCGCTTAGAAATCAGCCTATTAGTTAGAATGTTACTGTGGCAGCGTACTGTGCTACTGTATTAGAACTTCTATTAGTGAAAGATTAAACCAGTTGTATTTGTATTCACAGCTAAAATTGTTACTTACTATGCTTGATACATTTTTTTGGTAGTCCTATTTCTGTTGTGATTAAATGATTATGCTGTATTTGGTAGAATTTGGGTTTTATTTTTTGGCATAAAGTTAAAAATTGATTTTAAGTTTTTATTGAGTTAACATTGGCTTATTACATGTTTTAACTATCCACTTTTGTGATTTGTCTTCTGTATACATTACACCATGATTATCACCTAGAATCTCCTTCCCCTAACATACAACTGGTGACATAAAGTTTTCACTTTATATCCTAGGAAAATAAATTGCCCTCTCTCTTCCTTATTCCCCTCCTTTCTTTCCATAGTCTTAATTCTAAAATAGTCTAGAAATTTGATGTTAATGCAAGTACCAAAGGTTTTCAGCCTCGACTGAAGAAACTGACTTTGACCTGGATGGCTGGCTCTTAATTTATTATCCTGAATTTGGTTCTTAAGGTAGGGTGACAAATTCGTCTAGCAATATTAATAATAATTTAACCACTGTGGTGGTTTTTTGGGTACTGAATGTAGTCAAATTTATGGTCAACAAAGGCCATCAAATGTAAAAGGATCTAAATTTCAATCCTTGGGCCTCCTTGGTGGTACAGGGGTTAAAGGCAGCACTCTGAAGCTACCACCATACAGCTCTCTGGGTGGCCAGAGAGCTGACCCTCATGGTTCTGCAGACCTCTCTTGACCCTCCCACTGTGCCCCTCAGCAGTGTATTTCAGTAAATCTGCCTGTTCTGTTCCTCACTCTGTCTCTGGTGACTTGTTTAACCCTCCTGCACCTCTGGCCTGTACCCCAGTTCTTGTATGCATAAATAAATAAATATTTATAAAATTTCAATCCTGTATTCATTTATCTTAAAAATGATCAGTTTTGGGCAGCTTTGTGGACATGTAGAAACGTCTCATTGTGGTTTTAAAATTATCTTTTTTTTAATTTAAGATTTATTTGTTTATGCACACAAGAGCAGGGGTGTAGGCCAGAGGTGCAGAGTGAGAGGATTCACCAGAGACAAAGAGAACAGGCAGATCCACTGAAACACACTGCTGAGGGCATTTGTGCTATACACACAAACATATTGGGGATTGAACTGGTGCCGCAGTGGCTGTACAGCCTCACAGTGCCTCACCTTAACCCCTAATGCCACCAGGGAGGCCCTAAAGTGGCCTCTTTTTAACTACAGTGAATATTCCTTTTTCAGTGCGTTTTTGTTTTTTAAAGATTTATGCATACAGAGGTGCAGGGGTGGTGAGAGGATTCACCAGAGACAGACTGGGGAGCAGAACAGGCAGACTGACAAAGTACATTGCTGAGGGGAGCAGTGGGCGGGTCATGAGAGGTCTACCGTGCCATGTGTGTCACCTCCACGACTGGCGATCGAACTTGCACTGAAGTGCTGCCAGTAGCTTACAGTGCTGTGCTTTAACCCACTGCGCCACCAGGGATGACTTTTCAATGCATTTTTACATTTTTAAAAGTATTTGTGATTTATTATGATTTACTTACCAAGAAATTTGTTCTTTTATAATTGTACAGTTCAAAAATTTTGGTTAAATCCTCAGTTGTGAAAACACCACCACTGCCCTGTGGTTTTAACAGGTTCTGTGAGCATTCTTTTCTTGGCTCTCTCCCTTCAGCTACCACCTTCTTTTGGTATTCTATCTTGCCTCTTAGTTTCCACTAATTATCAGCAGATTATTCTATCGTTTTGATACAGTGCCCTAGGGCATAAATTGCTCAGCAGTCTGAACCAATTAAATTTGGACAAGGATTATTTTTGAGGCCAGCTGTTGACTGTAGATCTCTTTCCCTGGTTCTTCCTGGTAATCTAGCTGGCCTATTATTTCACTTGTTGCTCTTAATTAAGAGGGGTTACTATTTTTGAGAAGTGCCCTAGGCCTTGGACTTGCCTATAATTTGTTTCAATAAAGGCTGTTACTCTGGAGAGAACTTCAGAGCTGTCTTTTCTTATAATCTGCTTCTCCTCCTAGGTAATCCCTCTGAACTTCTATTCTGGGCACAGGGTTGGACTGTGGCCTCAGGCTTGACAGGTTCTGATGTTAACTTGTTTTTCAAGAAAATGGGAGTGAGTGTTGTTCAGACTTCAGCATTTTCAGCCTCCTACACTGTGGCAAAGAGTCTGTCTGATAGGTGAAAACTGTGCAGAGCTGGGTATCCTCTGATTTCTTAGCCATACTCAGGTCTGAAGCCTTCTTGGCTTAGAGTTGGAGGGGTGAAGAATGCTGTGGCTTCCCTTTCTATGGGACATACTTTAAACCTTGGTTAACAGCAGAAAGGGAACTCTGTCCTTTCGTCCATTCCCACCTTCAGTGGGACTCTGCCAGTTTGAGCTGAGTCTTTGGGGGAGTAGATAGGTTATAGCACAAATGCCATGAAATGTCTGAATATCTAGATTTCCTTTATGTGAATATTTCCCTAAGACAATTTCCAGAGACTTTAAAAATTATTTTTCTCAGCTTTGTTTATATCAGTGGAAAGTGGTATGTGAAGCATTATTTCCTGTTATCCCTGAATTCTCCAAAGTGCTTACTTACAAATCTTAATGTCCAAAGATGTATTTCCACTTTAGGAAATTACTGTCACAGATATCTGATTGTGTATGTGTGTGTGTGTGTGTTGAGGTTTTCATTAGATATGGAGCCCAGAGCCAGTAATATCCAAAGTAGTTCTTTTCACTTCCCTGTCATACTATGAATCTTTATAATCACTTTATATAATGAGCTAGTGATTTGATCCTAGGTTCCTGTTACTTCAAAAAATGTGTCATTCCACCTAGTACACTTGTTTGATTGATTTTTGCACTTCTTTGGCTCCATTGATAAGGAGATCTTTTCTGTATAATAATTAGGTATTTTTTTATACTCATATCCTTACAATCATATACTTTATACATATTTAAGTTGATACACAGTTAGACTTATTTTTTTACAATATCGTACAGTCTTATATTTTATAAAAGAATTTTACTGATATCTGATTGTATATTTAAGTTATATGAAATTTAAATTATACAAATTCAAATATCTGTACATCCTTCTACATCCTTGTACATCCTCTACTTAATGGGGAATGCTTTCTGACACAGCCTTTGATCTATTTATCGATATCCCCAATGCCATTACACACCGTGTGTGCACCTCTGTTTTGCATTAGTTGTGTTTACTGTTTTCTACTCCTCTAACTTTGCTCACATTCCTGAGAGGGAATTCAGCTTAGGATAGAATATTCACTAAGTCATCTCAGATGTCATTGGAAAGTGCATCTAATGACATCTCAGATGTCATTGGAAAGTGCGTCTAATGGTTTTTCTTGGAGGAGAGGGGAAGTGTCATATTGTGTTACACATTTCTCACCCTGCCTAAGCCATCATTTAGATACTTTTTTTTTCAAGCTGGTTCATAGGCGTGAAAGTGTCTTATAGAATGAAGGTATTTGAACCAATTTAGTTATACTCTGTGGTTTATTAATATAAGCTTACCTTAACCTCCAGCTCTAGAGCTATAGAAGTAAAATTGAGAATCGAGTTGACAGTGATAACCCTGTAGTAAGTAAGTATGCTACTTGAAGTTTCCTTTAATGTGACAGCTGCTTGCTTACTTTTGTAATGGCACATAACATCTGCCTAAAACAGTGGTTTGTTGTGAAAGTTGTCTCCTATGATGTATTGTATCGGGCTGCTTAATGAATTTCAAATTGAGCATAGGTAAAATAGCTACCTATGTTCGCACAATACATTTTTTTTTTTAAAGATTTCTTGTATTTATGCATCCAAGAACTGGGGTACAGACCAAAGGTGTGGTAGGATGAGAGGATTCACCAGAGACAGAGTGGGAAGTAGAACAGGTGGACTGACTGAAATACAGTGCTGAGGGGGATAGCAGGGGAGACAGAAGAGGTTTTGTGTGCCATGTGGGACACCTCCCTGGCCAGGGACCAAACCAGTACTGCAGTGGCTACCGATAGTTTCATTGTGCTGAGGCTTAACCGCTTGTGCCACCAGGGAGACCCTGTTCCTGTAATACTTTTTAGGTTCATTAGTTTCCTGTAGGGAAGAAAATGCCCCAGTGTGGAGCTCTGATGGGAAATATATTCTTTTATTCCATCTGAACTGTGTTTGAATATGCTAATTAAGTAATGCAGAAGCACTAAAAGGTAAGTAAAATAAAGCAAGTGGTAACAAGATAAATGATTAAGGCACAGATACTCTGTGAATGTAATCATAACTGAATGTAGTTTGACTGCCCTTCTTTGGGTGTCTTCTCACAATTGGTAAACTCTCCATGCTGATTGATGGCTAAGATGGAAATTATATTCTAGATAGTAATTACAGCTAGTATTTTATTATGTGTTCCCTCCCACTTCACATGATTTAAAAGAGTTGACAGGTTCTCTTTGACATGAGATCTGTGTTTGATTTGGAATGCAAATTGGTAGACAGGTTACTTCTGTAATTAGATGACCATGGCTGCTTAGGAGTATTCTGCCCTAAAGATGTCTAAGACAAGATTTTAAAAGTTACTTTAATCTGTATATCTGGTAAAGAATTCACTATTACAGTTTTTTTTTTTTCTTTCAAATTCGTGTGACTAAAGTCTGATGAATTTCACTCCTGGTGTTTTATTGAAAAAACAAATGCAACTTTAATAAATCTCTCTAATAATGAAGTGAGTGTGTTCAGGTTTTAGGTTATTGTTATTAACAGTATATTAAAACATTTTTATAGGTTTCTTTCTCTTTCTGCCCTTTAGCCGTCCTCAGAAAGTATGTTTGTGTCCATTTCTACCATTGCATCCTCTCCATATCTCTACGCACTTGTACATAATTCAGCATCCAGCAGAGGTAAGACTTGTAAAATATGTTATTTCAGATAGATTATTAATACACAAGAGGAAACACACAGATTACCATGTTCATCTCTCCTAGCTCTTGAACTTCTCTGGAAATAAATTCATAATAATGCCTTCTTTTTGGGAAAAATAGTTTCTTTTGTAGTATATGATAACATAGTGCCATGTGCTTTAGAGATATAAAACTGTTTTTCAATAGTATAGATATTTGGAACTCCCATGAGTGCATATGAGTAAGTACTGTGATTTTGTGAACACGGCTAGGAAAATCATTGCATTCTTTATTTTGTTCATAAATTAGATCCTTTGACACTTTCTGTTGTTAAAGTAGAAATAACATCCTACATTTTAACGTTGTAAAATGAGTGCATAAAACTTAAAATTTTTCTTAGATGCATAGAATATGTACATATATGATACATAGCTAATATATAAAGGGCTTTTTAATTAATACTTTTTTTCTTGTAATAATTAGAATTATGCACCTGCTAGTGTGTGTGTAACTCTTAATTAACTGCAATAAATGAAGGGGGAGGAGGAAGTGAAGGAAAGACTTAGGTGACCATGATTTGAAATAAATACAAAACTAGGCAATGTGTGGTACAAAATAGGCTTTGTATAAATTGAAGCTTAAACTTCTAGCAGTTAGGAACTTAGGCATCATAGATCGAATTAGGCTTTTAAAGATGGAATTTCTGAAGCCTGTCAACTTGAAGAGTTACACTGATATAAATTATGTCAAGTTGCCCTTTCTCTAAATAGTGAAACTCTTTTTATTTTTTTACAAACTTAATTATTTGCCCCCTTTGTTGGGTAACATATTTTTCTGAGTTAATCACATGCTTTGTGAGAATTAAGACATCTTGGTCAACAGCATTATTTTAATATGTTTAAACTTATAACATGGTACAGCTTACATTTATATAAAATGATAGCTTACTGGTCATAAAAGTGTTGGTAACAACTTTATATGACAAATGCTATTTTCATCTTATAATATGCATATATGTTGGTTCAGATACAAGATGACTTTTATTTTTTATTTTTTTAATTCCCATCCCCTTCAGCTTGTAATTTTATTTGTTTGGATCTTACCATTTGTTTTAAATACAATTAAACCCATTTGTTATTGTTTCTCTTTTACCTTCTATGCACAACATCCTGGTTGGTTGTGATTTTTTTTTTTATCGTGGGAGCTATGTAAAGCATAACTATGGTTCAAACTCATAGCTATTTGCAAAGAGATGTTTCAAGAAATGGCTGTCTCTTAAACTTCTGCCTCATATTTTGTCTCCCTCTCTCTCTCTTTTTTTTTTTTTTTTAAAGATTTTATTTGTGCATACAGAACTAGGATACAGGCCAGAGATGTGGAGGGTGAGAGAATTCACCAGAGACAGAGTGGAGTGCAGAACAGGCAGATCAACGAAATACACTGCTGAGGGGAGCAGCGGGCGGGTCAGGAGAGGTCTGCCACGCCATGTGGTCACCTCCGGGGCAGGCGGGAATCGAGCTCACGAGGAAGCAGCTTTAGATTCTCAATGCTGTGCTTTAACCCGCTGCGCCACCAGGGAGGGCCTCTCTCTCTTTTTTTTTTAACCTTACCCTACATTACCCTAAAATTAAGCAAACTTGAAATTTCTAGTTTATGTTCCCCTTCTTTTTTTAAACAAATGAGCAGATTTATGGTTTTCATTATATTCTCTTTTATCTTATAAGAAGGGTGGTATTGTTTTGCATTTTTAATCTTTAAAAAAAAACTTATTTATTGTTATTGAAGTTGCATTGTTCCAAATCCTTGCCATTGTCTTAACAGTGTAGAATTTCCTCCCTCCCGTGTAGTCTGTTGTGCTCTCCCTTCACCTCCCTCTTCGCCTTTGAAAACTATCTATCTACAGCAAGATTTCAAGGGCTGATTTTTAAAGTTTGACTTAGTTAGACCCTTTGTTTGGTTTTCCTTTGTGCCACCTATAAGTGACACCATCTGGTGTTTATCTTTCTCTTTCTGTCTTGTTTCATTTAGCATAATCCCTTCCAGCTTCATCCATGTTGCTGCAGATTGTGTGAGTTTATAGTTTTTTTTGATTGCTGAGTAGTATTCCACTGTGTATCTATACCACATATCTATACCACATCTTATCGATCTACTTATTTGCTTTTGATCACTTAATTTGTTTCCATATCTTGGCCATTTAAAAATAGTACTGCTATAAACTTGAGAGTGCAGGTTTCCTTTTGAAAAAAAAAAACATTTTTGTATTTTTGGGTAGATACCTAGAAGTAGAATTGTTGGATCAAACATTTTTAATCTTGTGAGAACCTCTGGACAGCTTTCCATACAGGCTGGACCAGTCCTACCAACAGTCCCTTTTTCCAGTCCTCACCAGCACTTGTATATTACAAAGCCTAATTACTATTGAAATAAAATGTTTGTCAGAATAAATTATTTTAATTTAAACACAGGTTTATATTTTGCACAATTTTAGCAATTACTTAGATTAATAGTATAGTATCTTCTTTGACTAGTAAACCTGTAAATTACACAAGTAGAGTAAAAATATACATTTATATTATACTTAATATTAGTAAATCAGATAAACTAGAGCTTTTTTATTAAGCTGATATGAACAGATACAACTCTTACTCTTAGAACCAAAAGCCAGGAAGCAATTTAGATTTTCATTAAATGTAATTATCTAGTCAAAGACTTGTAAAAAGTTATGAATCTGATGTCATCATAAAAGTTTTGAAAATGTGCTGGTCTAAGCAAAAAAATTACCTTTTAATTCATTTTTAATTAAAGGAAAGCAAAGTGCTTCGGACAGTTCCTCTTCTAGCAGCATGCCTACCCCAGGATAAGTGCAAGGTCAAGATTGGCCGCCGCTTCAGTGAGGAAAGGTATGTTAACTTTTAGGACAAAGTAAGATACTTCTTTCTATACCTAGCCTTAAAAATGGTTTCTTTTAGCTTGTTCATGGTTACTAGAACCATGATATATTATGATATATTAAAGTAGTCAAAAGATTTAAGTTCTGCTTTCTCTCTCAAAATAAAACAACACAAAAATACCCCTAGGAGACACAGATTGAAATAGAATTAAACAACCCTGGCATTGTCTGAATTTCATAGTAATATACATACAGCCTAATAATTCATACATGTTTACTGTATGTTTTTGTTAAAAATACTTTCAAGATGGCAGAATACTTGTGCTGAATGTAGTTTAGTTTTTTTTTTAATGAGGTACCTTATACAGTGCTTACTCAGTAAGTTATTTATTGACAGATTAGAAACTAAAGCTGACTAAGACTGTTTTCAATATTGATCTGAAAATTGAATGATTAAAGTAGACTTTTATTGGAGGACCTCATCTTACCAGATTAAGAGACATTGTTTTTGGTATCTGTTGTAGATGGAATTTAGAAGTACATAGTTTCAATTTTTTGCTACAGTGAATCAGAAAACAATTGTGTTTTATATATTAACCCAGTGCCACTGACTTTCTTAAATTCATTTATTCAGAATAGAAATAGTAGTTGTAGAAAGTGTTTTGTAGATTCACATGAGCGTGGTCTATAAGTAGCATTATCATGTGTAAATAGTCACTTAGCCTTCTTTTGTAATCTTCATGCCATTTGCTTCTTTTCCTTGCAGTAAGGGGGACCCTTTAGTAGATTGTATGTTAGGACTATGAAGGACCACATCTTTACTTTGACCCCAATTTCAAAGGACCTTGAACAATGTGACATAGGCTGCACTTTTTTGGAGATGTCTTGCATTGCCATTTGTCTAACTGTTGTTTCCTCTCCCTCCAAGCTTGTTGTTGCTTGCAGAGGTTATCTTGTTGATTATTCCATCTCCAGTGCCACAGTGCTTTGACATGTATTTTAGTCATATTCAATAATAGTATATTTTTCTTTTTATCTCCCCGAGCTCATAAAGATTTTTTAAAAAACCTTTCAGAGATCCTGAACTTTCAGCGATTTGTCGGAAGTCTGATACATTAATATTATATCCAGGGGCTGAAGCTGCTAATTTGGAAGAATTTATATTAGATTCTCCTGTTTACCCTTCCACAATCATCATCATCGATGGCACATGGAGCCAGGCTAAGGACATTTTCTATAAGAATTCCTTGTTCCGACTTCCCAAACAGGTAAACTAGCATTTTTACAAAGAACAGCTATGAAAGCATAATTATGTATGTTGTATACATTTTTCTGTGCATTTTAATGAATTTAATGACATTTGTTGCTTGTTGAGAGGGCCTTGATTCTTGACAATGGCAAATTCAAAACCATGGCCAAGAAGAACAAACCAGCATTTATGCACAGTACTCTTGGGAGAGGTTGGAGCGGGTGGTGTCAGAGGACTAACTTGTGCCCTAGTAGGGGAGGGAATTTGGTGTGGGGCTGCTCACATGTGAAAACTCCCCCCCACACACCCCCACACAAGCACCCTGCTTCAGAGAAGGGGATGTTTTAGTCCTTCGCAGTTGACAGAACTGTCATGGCGGTTGTTTCCCACAGGGCGGGTCAGAACTATGATGCTCATTAGGGGCAGGTGTCTGCCAGGGTGATTTTAAAATGATTCCTGCTATCTGCCTGTCAGGTGTTATTTTGTCGCCCCCTGCAGGTGTTTCCTTGTTTGCTGGGTATCCTTGGCACCTCTTTATCTTAGGCACTGTCCCCTGCCTTAATTACCTAATAATATGACAAGATTATAAATTACAAAGTCTGTAAGCTATGTTGAATAACTTTGAACTTACAGAAAACTCTCCAGAATAATACAAAGGATCCTCAAGTGTTGACATTATGCCATTTTGTCCTATCAGTCTCTCTTGCACTGTACATTTACATTTTCTGAACATTTGAGAGTAAAGAAGACATCCAAATTTTACTTTTTGAAATTGAAATTTGCTAATGCTACCCCAGCAAGATGGTCTTCTCCTAAAATTTTGCTTATCCTAAATCCCACACAGTTTATAAAAACTCCTATGTCTTGAGGCAGTTTCATTTTAATGTACTTGGTAAATATAGAACATCTTAGAAATAATAGTATATGTGGCTTTTTTAGAGTCTCATATATTCAGCCCAGATATATGACTAAAGCTTGATTAGAGGAAATGTGTTATTACAAATTGTAAGCGTAAAAGAATAAAATTTGTACATTTAGTCTTTCTAAAATTAAGTTTATATATGCATATATATAAATAAGTTGAGTTGAAATGGGGTATAAGTAACTGTAGATGTGTGTAAAATGATAAAATATTATTGATTATTGTAGCAATATGTGGTAAAGTCTGAATTACCTTCTGTATCTCTTTACTCTAATTTCCAACTTTTGAGAAATTGGAATTAATATAAATCCCAACTTTTGCCTATTCATATTATTAATGAAATAGTAACCCTATTCTACAGTTTTTCTGGGAAATTACATGTGGTCCCTGCTTTAATAAATACAAATAACTTGTAAGTAATATGCCTTTTTCATGTGTAAGACTGAAATCTGACTCTGACTCAAACAAGAAAGGAAGTTGATAGATCATGAATCCCAGATGCTGCAGGTGGGTAACAGTGGCTTCCGGTTTGGCTAGATCTGTTTCTCAAGGCGTTCTCTGATTCTGAGTTTTGTTTCCCTTTGTGTTGGTATAATTTTCCCTCTCTTTGGAGTGGGTTTCCTCCCTGCCCCTGGAAAGTGTTGGTGGGAAGCAACAGATTAATTTCTTCCAGGTTACATTTATCCTAATGAAAAGGAACTTTCTCCTTCTCAGACTAGATCTGGGTAGTCCTCTGGGCTTAGGGTGAATGGTGATACCATTCAGGAGTCAGGAGAAGTCCTTTGTAAGACATGGCTGCTATCAGAAAGAAAACTTAAAAATAAAACTGGGCAAACTACAAACCTTATAGATAAATACAGCCACTATAAATCAGTATTCACTTGGAAAAATACATGCTTGCTTATACATTTCTTGGTTCATTTAAAGTAAATACATTATATAGATATTTTAAGAATTCTTTCTGATAGTCTTATTTCCTAAGTAAAACATAAACATGTAAAAGGAAAATCTAGCTTAGCACTTGTCTTAGTTTCCCAAATCTATAAAAACTTTAACACTTGATCTTAGCTATAAGGCTAAGAAGTGATTATAATTTGATTTAATTTGGTTTTATGTCCTTTTTCTTTAGATTTATTTATTTATGCATACAGAACTGGGGTACAGGCCAGAGGCACAAGTGTGGTGAGAGGATTCACTAGAGACAAAGTGGGGAGCAAGACAGGCAGAACGATAAAGTACACCGGTGAGGGGGCCAGTGCAGGTCAGAAGAGATCTGCTGCGCCATGTGGGTCACCTCCAGGGCTGGGATCAAACTCCTACTGAAGTGACTTTAAGCTTCTTAGTGCTTTCCTTCAGCTGGCTGCACCACCAGGGAGGGCCAAATTTGGTTTTATTTCTAAGTGTAATTAAACCTTTTCTCTTTTTCACATAAATTATCTTGATTTTTACTATTAACTTTAGT